AAGAATGGAAAAACAATGGAAGAATAGGATTATACTCAAGCACAAAGAGAGAGAGCAAAACAAAGCATAGGCAGCCACGTTTTTTCTCTTGCAAAGTCACGGTTTCCAGCAGCCAAAGGAATAGAGTATAAATAGAATTATGTTGTAACTAAAATGGGCTAAGTCACACTAAATGAGCCAGCAATATTGGTGCCATTCAAGAAGTAGAATTTGAGCCAAGGCAACATTAATTTGTTATGTTGCTGCTAATGGTCCGCTTGCTTTGGGGTCGAGCCTTTTAATTGATTGTGTTAATAATAATTGCATACATTGACTGAGGCCTATATAACATGACTTATTGGGTATCAAAAACCCAACAATGCCTATCCTTTTCGACTTTAAATTCAACATAAAGTTATTAATTATCGCCCCAGTTAAATAATAAAGCCAGATTTCTAGATTACAGTCTTTAAGACTTTAACTACTACATTACAAATTAGTTAATTAAACATAAGCTAAAAGAAAAGAAAGTAACAATCATGACATACGAAAAGGAAAAAAGTAAGCATGCGTAAGCCTACATTGGAAGCAATGCTTCATCTGTCGCACTTTCAAGGGAAAGCTGCTTTAACCATTCAAATGTTCGATGACGCGACAATGCTTGTTTTCTTGTTCGGTGCTGCTGCTGCTGCTGCTGCTGATCCTTTGTCATGTTCATTGTTCGAATATGATTTTCTTGGAGACAAAGTGCGTGTGCTTCGTTTTCACTAGCACTTCTCTTGATGACAACAACTCTGGGAGAAACTGCATCTAATGCATAACATTTGCAACCACCAAATAGAACACCATTTTTGTCAAAGAATCTGGATTTCTTTTTGTTGATGCTTCCATTGCTAAAATCACTTCTGTTGCTGCTAGTGCTGTTTCGACTGCAGAAGTTCTTGTTATTGTTGTTATTTTCTTGTCGAATTTTGAGATCTTGCAATGCGATTTCTGGTGGGGTGACTAATCCTACATGGAAAATGCTCCAAATTGACGATTTTCTGCTGGAATTACGAAGATTTCCTTGCTTAATGCTTGATAAACGAAGCTGGGGTGTTGGACTTGGGTGGGAATGGAATTGATTTCGAACTCGTGGGCTATTATTTGATTTAATGCTGCTAGAACTGCCACTGCTTGAAGATCGATAGCTTCTGATGCTGCTACTTCTACTGCTGACATTTGTGAAACCAACGGAAAAAGAACATTTATTCATTGATGCACACCTGGAAATGGATCGGCTATCGTTACGAAATCCGTTTATGCCCTTTTCTGAGCTCACTGAATTACGCAGTGGAAGAATTTGGCCTCGATAGAAAACTTCATCAGCTGCACACATTTCGTATTCTTTTTGAAAAGAGCAGAAATCAAAGTCGTCTTGTATTTCATTGGTTCTTGGAGTTGGAACCTCTTCTTTTCTTGTCTCTTCATTGACCGGAAGATCACACAATGACAATGCTTCTTCTTCTTCATCTTCATCTTCTTCTTCTTCTATTTTCAATACATTATCAGTAAATTTTTGTTCCATTTTCAATAATAGAAACTAAATTCTTTGTCAATATTCAAGAAAGAAAGAGTTGGGTTTAATAATTGACGAAGAAAAATGGTTTTACATAGAGAGAGAGAGAGAAGTGGAACTTAATGATGCAAACAATGGAGATTGAAATATAAGAGAAGTGAGTAGTGCAGGCAGGCAGGCGACCAAAAATGATGTTATTTTCTTGTTTGGGAGTCAAGGGGAAGGATTAAGCATATGGCCGGCCAGCTTTTTACCTCAGAATGGACACTTTACTCAATTCGTTCGAATGATTATTTTGGAGAAACTAGATTTATTTGCATGCGCTTGATGTGGGGTCGCCTTTGCAATATGTCATTGTTACATCTAAATCTGATTCGAATACAATATTATGGTTTCCGATTTTGAAATCAGGTCCCCCTTTCATAATAGGTATTCATTTTTTGACAGACACAGGCGTTTTGGATGGAAACCATCAGATTGGTACGTGAAGCTATTACTTCATTCGAAAGGTTGAGAACCCAAATGTTCTTTGTGTAATAGTTGGGGATTCCTATGCTCTTTTAAGTATTTTGAATTAGCGATTGCAATTTGAATATACAAGTGTTGTAGTGGTACCCTGTCAAGAGACAGCTTTTTTTGTTGAGGGGACAATATTACTTTTAAGGATTAAGATTTGATTAACCTCATCAGCAATTCATTCAGACAACCAGCCCTACATTCTCTTGATGACAGATAGGATGTCAGGTTATAGATAAATTTAGATTAATTATGAGAGAACTGGGCTTGCAAGTTTTAAGAATTAATCTACTTTGCCAGATTTTTTAACGTTTTGGATGATGAAATGAGGTGTGGCAATAAGTGAGTTGATAACAGTGTTGATTGTTTTTTTTTTTTAAATTGGCCAACGACAAAATACCATGTGACATTCTGTCAAGGAAGGTAACAAATTCAACTTGGATGACAAAATGAGGTGTGTCAATAAGTGATTTGTTAACATTGTTGACTATTTTTTAAATTGGTCAGTAACAGAATGTCACGCTACATTCTGTCAAGGTAGATGACAAATTTATTTGACAATGTAGCACGATTGAAGTTTTAAGTACATATTTTGAGATGTCAGATTTTAAATGGTAAAGTGTATAACAACTAGGTTGGTAAAATTTTTAAGGACCTCAAATCTTCTATAAGTACTATCGAGAATTATTGCATAAACATTATAAATAGATATAAATAAAGCATACATGCATCTATTGATCCTTCGAAAATTAATTTCATAAAGTGAATAATATAGTGGTTGTGACGGATACTTCTCTCATATAGGTTTCACAACTCGTCCCCATTCAATTTGTAGGAAAAACTCCTACCAACTAGAATGTTCTATTTTGCCAAAACAAAATTCAAAAATAAAATAGATTTTATTTTTCTAAAAAAAAATTATTTAGTTTTTATAGTGCTACGAAATGTCATGTCCCTGTTTGACTCCCATTAAAACGAAATTATTTATTTTTCATACTCGTTTTCAATCACACAATTACATAATAAAATATTAAGTATATAAATCCAAATTTTTTTCTATTTTTTAGCAATATATTCTCAAAAAAATAACTATTCAAAACATCATTTTCCCCC